TCTGATTTTCTGATACAGACCTCGGTGTGATGTGCAGTGAGAGGTGAGCCGTATATTTAGGATGACATACCATTCCGTTATAAAAACAAACTAAGACCAGGAAATCGAAATAGAGAGCATGTGAGGTACCAAACGGCACAAACGCAATTTGGAGTTGGGAGATGAGAAAAAAATCCGTTTACCAATGGCGACCCAGACTATTTGGTCACCACTTCCATAAGACCAAGAGCAAATATCCTGAATGAAAACCTCTTTGAATCGAGAAACCGAAAACACAGGTTTGAACAATGTATCTCGGATCATTTCGCTGCATATGTACACGTGCATACTGCAGTTTACATGCTTATTAATGTGGTCAATAAATAACAGAACCGTAGGCGAGGAAAGATTGCGGTCGAAATTACTTACCAAACACATCTGTTACCAATGTAGCGCCAGAGTAATAAGCCATTCACGCTGTTTACACGGCTGGGGATCGTAATTTTGAATGATTAGTGCCTCGGTGTATTTCAGAACTTCAATGTCATTTTTTGTAGAGGATTCTGAACGCGTCGCGCAGCATGACACTGTTTCATTTCGACCAGGTGTTGTGTGATCGACGAGCTGAGTTTCCTACGTGTTATTGGTGAAGTCATACTCTCGTAGTTCTCACTCATTGTTTTCTGAAGCCAGACCACGATGTGCTCGGTTACTCGATAACGCAGTTGTCTCTCTGTTCTGTCGATGTAGATAGCCGAGCATGCAAACTTGAACTAATAGATACATTTGGATTTGGCGTGGGAAGACAGCGGTTTTTCCACTGAGGGTATTGGAAACCGGGCGGTTGCGAAAACAACGATGGGATCAGCTGCGTAGTGGGTGCGCTAACGGCCGATTTTAAGCGCTTGGTAATCAATCAACTAATATCATCACCCTTGAAAGGCAGTTGCAGGACCACTGTCATCTTATCTGCACCTGGTGTCTTTTCCCGTGTGCTGTTGGGTTGGGAGTGCTTTAAGATGAACCCTTTCGGATATCTGTTAGGGTGTACAACTTTGTTAATCTTGTCGTATTCGTTATCCAATGTATCCGCTGTGCAAATCTGTCACGCCCTGTAGAAGAGCGTTCGAACTAGACCAATCTTATATCCCATTGGAGCAAAGCTAGTAAAATGGAGACATTGTCCGGGTTATGAAATACGCCGAGGCACCAACCATTCAAAATTACCATCCCCAACGTGAATGGCTTATTACTCTGGCGCTACATTGGTAACAAATGTGTTTGGTAAGTAATTTCGACCGCAATCTTTCCTCGTCTACGGTTCTGTTGTTTACTGAGCATATAAACTGCAGTATGCACGTGTACATATGCAGCGAAATGCTTCAGGATACATTGTGCAAACTTGTGTTTTGGCTTCTCTATTCAAATTCGTTAAGGGGAAACTGTGATTCCAATTTTCGAAAATCTATTTGGATTTACCTTCTGATGGTCCGGATAAAATTTAAACCTTTCTCCAAACTCTGTAACTTGTCCGCTAACAAATGACTGACGTGTCAACGTTCAGAAGTTTTTTTGAACACGAAGATCATGAATATGCATTGCTCATTGTTTAAAAGCTTACTTTTGGCCTGGGCAATCTGGCGGTATTCTGCCTAAGTGCATATTACAGATGAATTTTTTCGTTATACAATGATCTGCTTTTAGGTACGTTTGTGAATGAACTGGGAAATGTGTATAACCGCGTATGCATGCTGGTTTTGTTTGAAGCCACAAACGGACGGATTTCTCCCCGTCTGATATATATAGCTATCACGATCGTAAGCTAAACAGAAGTGAAAATTTTACATGGAGCTATTATGCATTTATGAAAACCGACGTTTTCATCTCTAGGTTTTGGAGAGAAAAATTATATAATGCCCCCATAGATCACTTCGATTTGTACACATACTAACATACACCGCTGTCTACGCGGCATTGCACGAATCTGGTGGGGTCGCCGGATGAGCAATGCTGAGGTTAGACGCAGAGTTTTAGGCAGTCGCGGTCATCCACTAGAGCAAGTGGTCGACCTCCATAGATTACGTTGGTTGGGACAGGTGTTGCGCATGCCACCAGATAGGTTACCACGGCGAGCGATGTTCGCCGAAACAGACAGCGAGTGGAAAAAAGCTAAGGGTGGTCAAGATAAGACCTGGCACGCGGGTATGAAAACCCTAACCAGGAGACTGGGTCACATTGGCTCTCTGGCTGGGGACCGCTTGATAATGGTCACCGATGGTTAGATACACTGAGTGATATAGCTGTATGTAGTAGACAGTGGCGTTCGTGCATCTTCTCAATCTCTTTGCACTGAACTTCTCCATTTTCTGTTCGATTCCTCTTTCAACTTTCCTTTCTCCTATTCTTCATCCAAACGGGCAGCCAAAAGACAGCAATCAAAACCGGCGCACGAACTGAACAAATACTAACCCTGCAGTTGTGCGCAGCGGTTTGTGTGGCTGTCCTTTGGCTACTCAGTTGGATAGAGTAGATGGAACTATTAGAATGTGGGATACAGTATCGTGTGAAGATAGAAAACCCAGACAGACTAAACTCAAGAACAAACTGAGCGAATCTGTGAGGGCCAATGTTCACGATACACAACTATATCGCTCAATGTTTCATACCATCGAATACACTGAGCTCGATGTCCCAATTCCAGAAGATTAACGAGACCCAAATGATCGGACCTTCACAACCACGTGTCAGGTTCTAGTTTGACCCC